ATTTCTAATAATAGAATTGTTTATGCGGTAATTAAAAATCAAACAAGTTACTGAAATAACACAAAATCACAATTATGGTCGAGTTTAAAAGTGGGTGACCAGGACAAAGAAAAATGTTCGGTATATACGTAAAACTTGATTTTTTTCATTCGAAACAGAAATAGCGTATTGCTATCTCATTTTTCACATGGAGATTGAAAGAGATAACAATAGTACCGTGATAGAAAATTCACATTCTAAGGTATAAAAAAATGTAAGATGTATTATTTGGATTGTGAAAGAGATAATTAATTTTGTTTAGTATTCGGTCTTATCAATTAGTAAGCAAAATGTAATTTAATTAAAGTCAATACCTACATACAGACAATTGATTTGCTAATCTTTGCATTTAAGCTAGAAGGCACGAGTATGTTTGTTTCTAGAAAAAATCTATTTAACCCGATTTATAATAGGGACAAAGCATTGCACAATCTACTTGGACATTGTTTTCAATTCAGCGAATGGTTTCTTTGTCGGTCGCCAAGCGAAATGTTGATACAATGTAATTGAATTTCAACAAACTGAATTAATAAATGTTTTTTGTGTAAAACAAACAAATAAGATGTACTACAGCGAACGTTCAATCTTTGTGTGGAAATGATTTGTGGTATGATAGTCTAGAATGGTCTGTTCAGAATTGATTATTAAATCTTCATTACTGAATTCAATATTACATATATCAAATCGTGGACAGTTTTAAAATTATAACGATGAGTCAGTGAAAGGCCAATGCTTAAGCCTACTTAGTTCCTTTATTAAATTCCTTTAAGTGTTTTCTATTTATTACTCCTAGTTCTACAAGTTAACATTAATTTTTCTATCGATATCGATATATTTTTTAAGTGTAGTTAGTCTCTTTGAATATTTAATAGCCAAGTTTTAATATAAATATTGCTATTATTAATTATTAGGCGTTCAAAAATTAATACATTAAATACCAAAATACATTGATTAAATATTTCGTTAAGAAATTGTCAGTTTTTATATGATGATATAAATTTTGATGCGTCAAATCCTCGATATAAGTAATTCTGAATATTCATTGCTCCTGTTAAAAGCAACAGCAAAGTGTATTTGAGAGTTATATTACCAGCCCGCGCGGCTTGAGTGGATATGAAATTCCTTCGGGAGCTTTTATTTATGGCGATTTTATGTTTATTATAAATTGTAACGATTCAATATGGTAAAGATATTAAAATAACAGGACTTTGAAAAAGACTCCTATTGTTAATAAGACTGCAATTTGCCTATTAAACATATTTGTTGGGCGAATTCACAATTATAGTTATTCTTCTACATGTTTTCCACACTATATTAACTATTTTAATTACAAATGACATGTCCATTCGTTGACGCACATTATTAATAACGATAGTTAACTGCCAATAATACATAAATCTCGTATTTAATTCATCTGTACTTAAAATTAAGAAGAATAAGGGTGCTGCCACATTGGTTGAATGCTAATTTCGCAACTGCGCGTACTAATCAGTAATAACGCCCATAAAAACGAACTCCAAATTCACAAACAGTATACAGACTTGCGCAAGGATCTCGGGCACTTCGCGAGCTGATAGCTAAAAACTCGCGAGCTGCGTGTTCGCCAAATGTGAACGCACCCTTATGTGCAGCTGTGTCAGTGGTATCTCTGCGTACTCTGGCGGCGCGTGTAAAAATAGCAGCATGCGGTGCTATGGGATATCCTGACAAATTATTTTTATATATCCCCGCTTGTCCCTATATCCGTTCTTGTGGATCGGCTTCTTTATGAGATGCATAGATTAATAATAAAAAAAATGTATAGATAAGGACGTTATTTGCTTGTTACAATAAGAAAATTAGCCGTAGTAATACGTTCTTTGAACCTTAAAAGTGTTTTCTTGTTTAGATATTATATTTTAATATAATTTTGTGTCGCAGTAGGGTTAAAGTGAATTATTTTTTGTAACCTAACATCTAACTGAACTGAAAAAATATACGCAAAGATAATCTTTAGGACTCTTACTGTAAGTAATCCATTTACATTTTACAAGTCGGTATCTACTTATCGTTAGATGTACATGTGTTGCTTAAATCTGAAATATTTCATTCAACATGTAAACATATAATTCTTGTCAGCGCGTGGTAGTTGTTTAATATAGATGTAGTCTGCATTATGGAGTGAAATATTTAGTGTTACTGTTTACCTTTTGTTCGGTGATGCGTAGTTATGAATACATTCTATATTATTTATAACATAAAATTATTTCCTTTACGGTAGTAAGCACACGTTCAATACGACAGCGTACAAATTATCTAACATGGTGAGCACAAGAACTACTTACAATAATATAGTCATTTTCTATGCGTAAGTGGGTTTTATTTACTACTAGCTTTCGCCCGCTACATCTGTCCCAATTAAAAAAAAAAAACAAAAACAAAATCGAGTAGTCTATGTGTTCTTCCAGACTATGCTTTACATCTATGCCAAATTTCATCGAGATTCGTTCAGCAGTTTATTTAGGATATAAACTCTAATATAAATCTATCCTTGTACACTTTCGCATTTATAATTTACCAGCTTTCGCCCGCAAATCCGCCCGCGTGGAATTAAATAAAAAACAAAATCGAGTAGTCTATGTGTTCTTCCAGACTATGCTCTACATCTATGCCAAATTTCATCGAGATTCGTTCAGCAGTTTATTTAGGATATAAACTCTAATATAAATCTATCCTTGTACACTTTCGCATTTATAATTTACCAGCTTTCGCCCGCAAATCCGCCCGCGTGGAATTAAATAAAAAACAAAATCGAGTAGTGTATGTGTTCTTCCAGACTATGCTCTACATCTATGCCAAATTTCATCGAGATTCGTTCAGCAGTTTATTTAGGATATAAACTCTAACATAAATCCATCCTTGTACACTTTCGCGTTTATAATTTACCAGCTTTCGCCCGCAAATCCGCCCGCGAGGAATTAAATATAAACAATAGTGAGTAGCCTATGTGTTCTTCCTGACTATGCTTTACATCTATACCAAATTTCATCGAAATCCGTTCAGCCGTTTAGATTACAAACTCTAACAAACATCCACCTAAACTTTCGCATTTATAACATTAGTATGATATAAAGATATTGTGGCAGAACTGCTATTTAAACGCTTCTTTCACTGGAACTGATATGTTATGTTTCCTTAACTGAAGGGGTCAAACGAACAGCGGGAACACAAAGATGAACAAATGTCGCAATATAAAGATCTTTTAAGTATATATCTATAAATATGCACATAATCAAAGTACATTTTTAATAATTTTGTTGTAAAACATTTAATAGAAATCTGGTAACATTTGAACAATTCATTAAACTAACGCATGAAATATTAAAATAATATTTAGCTGCGAACTTGACATATATCCAGAGCTTTGTTATTTTTATCAGATGATGTATTTACTAACGTTACAAAGTCTCTGCGTCCGACGCATAATAATTTGAGTAATGGTATAAAAAATTATCATAAATGTACTAACGAATCACAATATCTTATTAGTGAATAACACTAGGGAGTAAAGAATTTCGGTGTGCTATAGGCTATTCATTTTAATGTTTTTTAATTTAGGGGGTGAATATGGTAGAAAAAAATGGATACGAAAAAAGGACTAAACTACAAGTCAATAGCAGCAAGGACGTAAGCCTGCCATTGTAATTCTTAGAAAATTGCAAAGGACTTTACACATTTTCAATTGAAAGTTTTAAGTGAATGTAAACAGTAAAATATTTTATTTAATATCACGTGGATGAAGTTCTAAGGTAACAGCTAGTAAATAAAAGCGTAGGTAAATGCGTAATTGTCAGTTCCAATACACAAATATACTATTTTAGAAAACGTTACAACACTGTTACACACCAAGGTCGATAGCTGAACATTTGTTTGTTTACATATCCCCTTTGCATTGTGTAACCTGAAAACCTAATTATCGAAATCTATTAAACTTTTAGTTTCGTTATGTTAGTTAATTAGACTTTTGTGTTGTTATAACATTAATTACGATCAACGTGTCATTTTTATATCGATCCGAAATTTATTTCTAATCATAAAATAATTAATGTTTCAAATTTTTATGAAAATCATGTTTGAAGCGCAGCTATAACATTTCTCGTGCAATTTCCGTTCTATTACAAATATGCAATCGATTTTGCGTTAGACGAGTATTTCGCGTTTTAAATAAGTACCTAGTAAATTAAGAAAATTGTTGAGCAAACTTCTTTCAATCAACACGATCAGAGAGTGTTTCAATGTTTTGATATAATTTGTATCCAACAAAGATGTTGCAATTTTTTTCAGCGGCATCAGTTAACAGATACAATGAAAATATTTCAACACACATTAACTATAGCGGTATTAAAATTAATAGCCTTATACCTAGTTTTTTAATCAAAATAATTACATAATAATCATAACATTGTACCTTTCGATTTTAACTACAACAGTATTGTTTTATGTCAGGAAAAAACAAGACAAATCATTATAAGAGAACAGTGTAAAAGAAAACAGATTCGCGAACGGTTAACGCGTGGAACATTACAAAAATGGATCCAAGTTTATCTCATTCTAATCTTTTTTGTCCTCGATTATGGGTAAAAAAAGTATTAAATTTAATTCACCAGCTTCATCGTTATATCTGCATTAATCCATCCACTGGTTATAGTATGTTTATTGCACTTGCATATCAATATTATCAGACAAGTTAGCACCACATTCCATAGAATCTAAAACTGCAAAAGCAAACACAAAATACCGTTTTGGTTAATTACACGTCCACGGGCCAGACGACATGCATCGAACAGATGCAGTACGGAAATAAAACCAGCGTTTTTTCCACTTGACACTTGTACTAGATGAGCTAGCGCGTGAGTTTCTATTTTAATTGTATCATGGCGTTAATGTAATTAAAGCTGAATTACAATTTGTGGTTGACTCACCGTGTTCCCGACGTGACGTGGATGCGCGTGCGCTCGAAGGCGGGCGGCCGGCGACTGGGCGGGCGGGCGCGACACGACACGACACTAGCGCTCTCGCACACTACCTCTCTGCATTTGACGTGACGAACACATAACGAGGTCGTATATCGTATATGTCAGTGAAAAATTGGTAATATCTTCCGTTGATAATGTTACTAATCACATTATATGAGTCAAGTCAATGAGCTTCTAATCTATTTACTTCATTCGACCATTAACAAGAATCTTACCTGTTTAAGCTGATGTTTTACGTAAATGATACATTTAATGTGTTTAGTTTGTGAAGAGATACCCAGTTACAGATGTTTATTAAAGTATTAATAGGGATTTTTTTTTGTATCTTAAACTGAAACTGTATAGAAATTTTCCGTTAGATATAGCTTGGATCAAAGAATTTATTCTGATTTTGGAACAAAAGATCTGAATAAACTGACCCGTGTTCTACTTTTATATCACACGTTCTTAACCTTAATCAATTAGGTGTTGTGGAAACGAACAAAATCTAAATTTCTCATACTTCTAAGTATTTGTAACTAACAAATTTTGTTAGATTTCGGCTTTCGATAGTTAATCACGTAACCCGGTTGATTAAAAATTCTAGGAAAATCGGCCATTTTTAAAATTTTAATTTAGCTTGCCCTATATGTGTCTATTCTTTTGATCGAACTTATTTAGTACCAACAGGAATTAATATTAAAAAACTTATCATTGAGTCTGGGCGATGTCTAGGTTAGAATTGAAAAACTTTAGTATCAGTAAGACTATTGGCCTAATAAAAGTTATTGTAGGATGCACTGGATGAGGGCAAACTGATTTATCCGACGATCAATGGTAGCCTATGAAACAGTGGACGCTTATAGTAAATCCTACTGTAGACAACAATAGGTTCAACTGTAGACAACTATAGGTTCAACTGTAGACAACTAGAAGTCCAATTGTAAACAACTATAGGTCCAACTGTAAACAACTATAGGTCCATCTGTGAACAACTATAGGTCCAACTGTAGACAACTCTATGTCCAACTGTAGACAAATATATATCCAAATGTAGACAACTTTAGGTCCAACCGAAAACAACTGTATAGACCGAAAAAGTAAAACAATACGGAGAGTGTAAACCTAAATAATTAATTTTAAGCTTTTATATCGATTTCGTCTCTCAAGTATAGACCTTTTATGGCTAGAGTCTACAACAGTCTTTTTTCTTTGAGTAACACAATGTGATAGGCAATCCTTAGATATAAAAATACGTATGTAAACAACATTTAATTTACTTATTTATATATCATATATGTACATGGCTAATAGACTTAGCTCCCTGAGCTGGACGACACTTTATTTCACAAGGTTCATAAAAATAGATAGTACACCTTTGTACTGTTACCGAATGGTAAAGCAAATCGTGAGATTTATTTCTAAGAAGAAATATAGATGTTTTATAGCATTTAATGGCTTAGCAAAACAAATCAAACTAAAACTGAGTTAATCAATTGGCTTAAGGTATATGATTTAAATCAATGTGACTTTTAGAATAAGAAATAAAAATCCCGGTTGTTTTTGAACTTTTATTGTTTTTTTGTTTGTTTAACATAAATAGCATTTATTTTTAATTATTACAAGTTACAATTACAAACGCACAATTTTCATTGCACAATTAATAAATAATTAACATATAATATTTTATTTATTTTTACCTACTGCACTTAATACAGTGAATCTTGCCATTGTATTTAAAGCGCCGGAGAACTTATATTAGACATTGAAAAAAAAAGCATTATCGGTTTTTGGTTCTTTATTTAATTGATTTTCGGAGTTACAATAGATAAAATCGGCAAGGGACGAGCAGTCGGCTGCCGACTGAAATAGTGTTGAGACACGGCATTATTAGGGCGAGTCGTCAACCGAGCACGCGTCCCGGACCGCGGTTTTGGTCAATGGACAGCGCTAATGGGCAAGAAATGTCCACTAACGCCATCTACCGTGTAACTCAAACATCACTTAACGAACGACTAGGCTTATACCCGACCGGAATTGCGCCCCTAAACGACTGGTAGAGAGAAATGCTGGTGCGGCGGGGCGGAGCTTGGGTGTCTCACTCTGTGCTGAGGGCGCGGGACTCCTGCACCAAGTAGACCTGGGAGCCGGGCACCGTGGAGGTGGTGACGAAGGTGCGGTGCTTGGCACGGATGAGAGACAGATTGCTCTCAGCGACATCGGCGCGGTCTTCGGCCGCCTCCAACTCGCGTTGGAATCGTCGAACTCTGGTCACACTCTGTTGGGACACGCCCTCCTGAAAATGTTTAAGAATAGTACTTATTACTTGGTTGTTCATATAATAAAAGACGTTGACAGATTTGTGTAATCGATAGTCTAACCTGTTCCGTCAACTGCCTCTTGTAAATGTTAACTTTTTGAGTAGTTTTCTCCAAAGAGTCTTGGAGAAGAGCAATGTTCTTCTGGTCTTCTTCGCATTGGATCATGACCTCCTTGACCTGGCGTTCCTTCTTGCGGAGGATCTTAATGGTTTCAGCGTGCCTCCTCTTTTCTTCGTCCATCTCGAGCTCCAAGTCCTTAATGCGGGCCTCCAGTTTGCTGATGATGCGCTTGCCACCAACAATGGCATTAGCTTCGACTTCCTCCAAGCGGACGGAAATGTTCTGTAAGGAAATTACTTGAAATGATTAACGGTTTAACTTCCCAATGAGCTTGTATTGTAGATTAAGGATTAGGTTTTGTTGATTATAAGTTTTTTTGTTGATTATAAATTTAGTTTGGGCAACGGAAAAATCACAGTTAGCATCATTTACCTTCACTTCGATTTCGAGAGACTTCTTGATCGCTTCGATCTTGACGATCCTCTCCTGTTCCTCATGCAGATGTTCAACAGTGTGCTTCAGTTCAGTCTGGAATTATCATAAAATAATATTAACTAAGTATATAGTGAAGATAGATAGACAGAAACGACGCAATGGTGGAATGACGCCAGAATATTCTGTGGAATTGAAAATAAAACTCGGTTCTTCTCGTTTTTCTATACGAAAAGGGGGCAAAGGAGCGGAGGGAATACCGGGGTGTTAATTGACGCCCATGGATGTCACACAATGCCAGAGGAACTGCAAAAGCGTTCCCGGCCTTTGAGAAAGTGATATGCCACTTGGTTTTACTTTTAAGTGATTAAAGATAATTTTACTAAAGTACTAATATTAGGTAAAAACATTTATTATAATGTCTTACCTGTACGCGTTGGTATCTCTCATCAGCGATACGCAGCTCCTTAGTAATCTCGTCATAGTCTGCGGCGACCGCTGCGAGCTCTTGCTCGATCTTAGCCTTGCTGCTAGAGAGGTTCACGTTGATTACTGTCAGCTCGTTGATGCGGGTCTGAGCTTCCTCGTACGACAGTTCGATGGTGCGCTTGGCGCGAAGGGCCTGGTACACATTCAATTAGTTAAATCATCAGCCTAGTTTCATTAACATTTTGTAGACGCTTACTCTTTACTATTTTTAAGCTACTGTATACCTTCGATTTCTACGGGAAACCAGTTGATTGTTGAGTTATATCGGTGTAATAGACATAATTAAATGTTATTTAGTACGTACATTCGAGTAAAAAATAACATACCTGCTCATAATTGCCTCTGATCTCCTCGATCTCGCCGGTGAGGGACTGTACTCTGCGCTGGGCAACGCCGTATTGGTCGAGGGTCACCTGGAGCTGCCTCTGGACCTCATCGTAGTGAGACTGGATCTCAGTCAGCTGGAAATTATACCGATACTTTGTTGGTAAACTCTCTTTAATGGCTAGGCGCATTAACTTAAATTTCATAATTTAATTACTCCATTTTCTTATTAGATAGTAAGAGTATACTCGTACATAACTTTGGTAAAATGTACAATTGTAAGAACTTACATAGAGGATTTAACCTTTATTCAAATAGCAAAAGTAATAATTTTATGTATACCTGCAGAGACTGCTTCTTGATGGTCTTCTGCAGGTCGATGTTGGTCTTGTTAGCAACATCGAGAGACAGCTCGAGTTCGGTGATCTGGATCTGCAGCTTCTTCTTAATGCGGGTCACCTCCGTCTTCAGCTTAGTCTCGGCTTCAACGACACGAGCGCTCAACTGCTCGATTTCGATGCTGGTCTGCTTGCTAAACAAAAAGTAACATTTATCACGAGAACTTATGATTATTTAAAACCTTTCCAATTTGTCGAAATTAAGGTTAGTTTCAGAATCAGATACCTCCTGTCCATCATGAAACTTGTATTTATATTTTCGAATTGGTTTATAGTTTCCTTTAATTCTATTAGTTTTTGACGGTACGATTCATCTATAGACGGTATGTCTGTTTCAATTCTCACGACACACACTTTCGGTGGCTTTTTTGCTAATTGGATTGCCTTCGATATTTGGGAGAATTCAGCTTCCAAATCTCCACTTTCTACTCGTCTAGATCGTTTTGAGTAATCGTAATCTTGGTTAAATTTATTAGGTAAATCAAAATTGTTTAATCGCACTTCAGAAACATTGTTTAAACCCTCACTAAGCAATGTTTGAGCGATAGCTTTAGCAGATTTTCCCTTATAGATTTTGGCTTTCCCTTTAACTTTGGCCCCAACTGCACTTTCACTGAACGATTTATCAAGCAATGCATTATCCGTGACGTATGTGCTTTGTTTTTCCAATCTAGCTCTTTCTGATCTCTTCTTCTTTGTTTTAACGACAACACTTTCAGCAGATACGTGTTTAGACACATTTGCTGCAGCTGCTGTCGCAATTACTGAAAATGGCGATCTTTTAGTAACGTTGAAAGTATTAAGATCTTTTTTGGCTTTCTCAGCAACTTCCTTTGAAATTCTTGAAAGATCTGCTTCAGAATAGGTTTTAATGGGACCATCGAATCTGTATTTTTCCAAACCTCTTTCATTGTTCCAAGGCAAAGTTGGGGGTTTACTAACTTGTCCTTGTTCTTTAGCTGCAATGTAGTCTATCATTGGCTGATAATAGTT